AATTTTTCTAAGAAAACTAGACAGATTCTGTCATATATTGTATCAGAGTCAATATATATATATAATACATACGTATTATATATATAATACATACGTATCAAAAATAATTTATTTAAAGTAAATATATAAAAATTATATATATAATACATACGTATTATATATATAATACATACGTATCAAAAATAATTTATTTAAAGTAAATATATAAAAATTATATATATAATACATACGTATTATATATATAATACATACGTATCAAAAATAATTTATTTAAAGTAAATATATAAAAATTATATATATAATACATACGTATTATATATATAATACATACGTATCAAAAATAATTTATTTAAAGTAAATATATAAAAATTATATATATAATACATACGTATTATATATAATTTATTTAAAGTAAATACATACGTATTATAAATTATTATTGATAATTTATAAATTATTTTTGATTATAAAAATTACAAAAATTATTTTTGATTATAAAAATTTTTACCCTTACATACCTATTATAAATCAAACCATCTATAACCTAAAAATGATTTATATTGACGGCAATTATAAAAATTATATTATTTCAATGCTTCATTGTGTGTGGGTGTGTGCCTATGTCAGAGTGAGAGGGTGGGTTGGTTTGGGTTTTGGTTTGTGTTGCAACAGTAAAAATGTTATTTGAAATAACGTTTTCTAAAAAAAAAAAAATTTATATGTATAGTGAAAGCGCGATTTCAAATAGCGTTTTCTTCAGAAAATTTTTTATATACTAAAAGTGTGATTTGGAATAACGATTTCTTAATTAAAAGTGCGTTTCTCAATAGCGCTTTCACTATTCATCAAATTTTAGGCTCCAAACAGTGAAAGCGCGAGTTGTAATAGCACTTTAGTCTAGTTTGAAAAATCCATCCAAATTAGGTCTAATTTGAGAAATAATAAAAGAGGCCTAATATGGGAAAAGCCCCAGATCAGAGGTTGAAGAAACTAACCAATTTTTAATTTTTTTTTTTTTGTATTTGTCACAAATATATATACACATAAATATATACTTGTCATAATCATTAAATAAAGCTGTCCTCTCTCTCTCTCTGCACATTGTTGCCAAAAAAAAATGGCGCACGGCGGCTACGGAAAGCGCAGAGTCGCCGGACGCAAACCCAAACCGGTGAGCAATAGTCGGCGGTCCAGCAAGGGACTAGGTGTTGACAAGAAAGCCAAGCCTAACCCCAAACCCAAGTCTGTCTCTCTCAAGAATCAGATTCGATCCATTCAGCGTATGCTCAGAAAGGTGTGTCTCTCTCTACACGCTCTTTTGTCTCTAAATTTTAATCAATCACCGGACCTCTGAATTTGTTGTTTTCTTCAATTGAATTATTGTTTTTATTTTTTATTTTTAATTTAAGAAAAAGCTAGGGTTTTTGAGAATTTATTGACTTGTGTTATGAAATGGGGATATTGTGGTGGTGTGGTGGTGGTTGTGGTGCAAATTTTTATGATAACTCGGTATCTGGGTCTAAGGGGCGACTAATCCGGTACCAATCCCACCGCCCACTATCACTAAGTTGCTGCAAAACCCATATGGACTGACCCCAATAAATTGTGGTGGCGATGACAGTGGTGGTAGTGGTGGCGGTGGCAGAAGGGGATGATAGTGGTAACCAACAGAGGGAGACCAATAATCATTGTTGTGGGGGTGATTACACGGTGGAATAGAATGCTTATTCCTTAGCTTAGAGAAAGGATGTGTTCCCATTTTTTGTTGGAATGGCAATCCCCACTTATGTAAAGGGAAAGGGAATGCAAAGCTGGAATGGACATTCCATTCCAACCCATTCCATAATACAAACGAGCTTCGAGGTTGTGTTTGGTTGGAGGTTTTGACGAGGAAAATGGAAACGGAAAGAGAAATAAAAAGAAAAGTAGAAAGAATTGATATGATTTGAATTCCAAGCTAGGTTTGGTTGAGTTGAGAAATGGAGAAAAAAAAAGAAGTGTGAACTCAAATGATAAAAAGTGGGATTAAATTTTCCTCTCACTTTCTTTTCCTTGTGTTTTCCATTATAACCCAACAAAAAGTGAGATTGTATTTTCTCTTCTCTCATCAAATTCTCCAACCAAACACTGCCTAAATGAATCTCTCTTTGGGGAAAGTACTGCAATTATGCAACATTTGCGGTCACTTTCTCTATACCATTACAAGAACACCATTGCGGTGTTACCCTATTTTGAAGCATTTTTGTTTTCCAAAAGACCATTTTCTATATGAATTATTTTAGATTCTTGCTTATGTAAGTGATATAAGAGGAACTCTGATCCTTTAGAGATTAAATTTTGTCGTATGCCTTGGATTAGCTGGGCATCCCTACTATCTGGTTCCATCGACACCTAAATGCCTTTTAGTTTTGACATCTCTCATGTAACTTTTTCTTTAATTAACTCAAGAACTTTTTACTTGTGGAATTGATGGTGATTAGTAATCTATAGGTAATAATAAATGTTCATTATTTTCAGTCTCCACTCTCCAGGAACTGATGGTTACTTGTGAAAATGGCTCCTTTTTAGTGTGAAACTGTGAATAGCTTGAACCAAAAATATTTCATTGCTATGGGAATCTTTAATACTGTAGGAGGAAAGTCTCCACTCTATCATGTCAGAACCGCATGAGTTTTATTGTGGAATAGTTCTATTCTTTTGGTTCCTGGAGTTTGGTTACTTTCTAACTCAATGGTACCTTTTTAAGGATCTTTCACCTGAAGTTAGAGAGGCTCAAGAAAAGAAATTAGAAGGGATCAAGAAACAACAAGAGATTCACAATCGACTTGCTGTGGAACGTAAAATATTCTTGCGTGACAGAAAAATTAAGTTTTTTGGTAAAATATTATTCATTTTGTGTTTATCATTACATTTTGTTGCAAATTTATGTTCGCAGTAATTACATGGCTTGTTAGTGTTGTGCATGACTCTTGGAACTAATATTTGCAATGGTTAGAGAGAAGAAAGATTGAACGGAGAATAAGACGTTTGGAGAAAATGCAACGGGCTTCATCTGGCCAGTCCAAAGAGGCAGAGATTGCCGAGCAGCTTTCTAAATTGAAAGAAGATCTTGAATATGTTAGGGTAAGCTATGCATAAAAACTCTGCTACCTTTCATGTTTTCGTGAATGAAATGAGTTTGTGACAATAGTGAGCATTTCTTTCACCTGTTCATAGATGATAGAGCTACATATGTATAATGCATCATCACAAAAAATAAATAAAAGGAAAAATAGGCACCAAATTTGGTTGTTGAGTGGGATCTTTGTCCACCCCAAGAACAGTTGTGTCAAACCATCTCAGTTCAGTCATATCAAATTTTAGTTAGTAAACTAGATTGGCTTGGGTTTATCAAATCCTGGGTGGCTGAAGCCTGGATCCTTGGAATGCTTCTTTCTCTAGTTTGGCTTTGTTTGGTTTCGTTTTCAGAATTTGTTTTATGAAAAACATTAAAAACTAATTTTGTGAACATACAATGAAAAATTAAAAAACCCATATTTTCATTTTGTTTCTTTTTGGTTCAAAAATGGTATTTGAAAATTCAAAACATCTTTTTGGTGTTTATTTTCACCAAACTAGATTTTAATGTTTTTCAGAAAATAGATTGTGAAAACGAAGCCAAATACACAAATATGATACTGCATCACTAATTCAAGAAATAAACTTTTAGTTCTTCTATACTTGTTTGAATTATATGGGTATTATGTGGGTAAAATTGATCTTTTATTGGAACTGCAGTTCTTTCCAAAGACTGAGAAATATGTATCTTTATTCATGGGAGGTGATGACACAGACATAGTTGATAGAAGAAATAGATTACGTAAGCAGATCAAAGCCAACATTATTGCTGCTGCTGCTAGTGGGAAGGATCTTGAAGGTATTTACTTTCTAGGGCTTATGCCAATAACTATCCACTATAAAATCATACTACTTTGATTTTTATAGAGCTTGGGCCCTGGAATATAGTGACCACTGGCTATTTAGCTTCAGTGCAATTATTGCCAACCCCAAGGGGGTCATGTCTACACAGGGTCATGGGTATGTTTTAATCTCACTATCAGAAAAATGGGGCCTGGGATTTATTCACATTTGACTTGTTTATTTGTGGCACCTTCCATTCCAGTACACTGTGTACTATTTGTAAAGATTGATATTTTATTTTACATTCACCAAAGGAACAATTTCTCATTAAATCTCTTTGTTTTGGTGCACATCTTTTTAGACCCTTTTCTTATCGCAACCTTAAGGTTGTAAAAGTTGTTATTGCTGAAAGCCTGTATGAAGTCTCTAGAATAAAAGAGAAGGGGCATACATAAACATTAACCTGAAAAATGAATGTTTGCATGTTGTGCATCGTTTTAGGAAATGGTTGTTAGCCATTACATAGCGGTATTTGGAGGTCTGGTAATTGTTACGACTTCCTTTATTGGTTACAAAAAAAGATATCACGTATGTGACAGTCATTATGGACTGTAACAATACTATTATGCTACTGTAATGGCCATTTATATTTGCATCATTATGGAAATCATGACCCTCTTTCAACATAAAAAGAAAAACATTACGGCTATGTTTGGTTTGTATTTGTGAAACAATTTTGGAAAATAATTTTTTAGAAAGAGTTTGCAAAATATGAAAATTTGTTTGGTTGTATGTTTTGAGAATAGTTTTGAAGTTTGGGATGATTTAATTTAATTTAATTAATTAATTTATTTATTTATTTTGTAGTTGAATAGATGGGTATAAGAAAAAGTGATTGATCGGTAAAGAGAAAAGTGATTTTGAATTTTTTTTTTTTTTTTTTTTTTTCCAAAAATTTTTAACCAAACAAATTTTTGAGATTTTTTTCTCAAAAATTGTATCTCTAGATACAAATCAAACAAGGCCTACATGATTTGGGGATCATTTTGCTCCCAGTTTTTGCATTCTTACTACTATTACCCTCTGCCTTTCCAAAAAACTTCTGGCATAGATATGCTCATTTTGGGTCTAAAACATGTTACTTCAATCCATCTCTTCTAGAGAAGTATGCATATAACTTATTTGGACCGCACGTACCTTATAGTCTGTGTTACATAGACTTCTCTGTTTTTCCTAAAATACCTCTGTCTAGCGGATATGCTAAGGGTAAGGCCGTTAGAGTGGGAGATATGTGTCCAACGCCCATATCCAATTTAAATAAAGTCCTAATTTTATTTTTTACAATGTTTGAAGAATAGGAAATTCACTATTTCTAGCCTTTCACATGAATAAGAGATAGATTCATATTTTTTTCTAAATCCTATTTTGATTTCAAGTACATATCTATATAATTTACAACATCTTATTTAAGATATTATACAATATACAATATATATGTATATATATATAAATCTACATGATGTGTCTTTTGTACCTATATCCAACTCTTGGAAACATATCTCAATATCTTAAGATTTGAGTTTACGAAAGGTCTGATGTTTCCCGCACCTGCACCTGCACCTGCACCCACCCTCGAGTCTATGTATAACATAACCGTAAGTTACGTTTATCAACATCTTGAAAATTCTAGTAAAATTTTAGTGCGATGGATAGAGGAATTGAGACTTGCAATTATTTCTATGCACAACAAGCATGTGCCATGTGGGCAAGCTTATTTAGGGAGTTATTAACATCTTCCATGCCATTCTTTTTGGATGTGAAATAGTGAATCAATGAGAAATGAATGTTAAAATGTTACTATGCTACAACATGTATTAGCCACTAGTGTAGCTGAATTATTTGTAGTACCATTGTTTAAACAATTATTGGTTTATGTATTTTATTCTTATGAACTATGTTACATGGTTTAATATTCAAGCCTCTATATCTACAAAAGAGAAGGATAAAAAACAGTGAAACATGGAAAAAAGAAAGAACGTAGAGGGAAAAAGAGTGAGGTTCAACTACTTTGAGTGATTATATTTCTTTCTATTTTTGTATTGTTCATCTTTCGTTGAAAATATGAAGTGATAAATGAAAACTTTGAACATTGGATAACAAATTTTAAATTTTATTCAAGAAATCAAATAATAGTGACAGTGAGAGAACCACCTTTTACCAAAGAAATTAGTTATCTATTTGCACTAACAATGAAACCATGAGAAAATGATCCACTATTACATTTATTGCCAATTACCAATGAGACTGAAAAAAATATGACCCACTAGTATATATATATATATATTATCTAGTTACAATTATATTTTTCTGGGTTAATTTTGTCAATTTGATAAGAAATTGGTTGTAAAATAATGTATTGCGAGGAATTTATTTTTGCAGATTTGATATATCTTATATTTTTACCTATTTACTAAATGATGTTTTTCTCAAAATGATGGCTTTTAATTGTTAGCCAAACATGTTCTTACATATTTATGAAAAATGTTTAGTGGATGGTCATATGCTCTGTTTTCTAATTATATACTTGTTTCACCTTCTACTTTATTTCAGCTTTTGCTATTTTATCTAGTTATCTTGTTGCGCTAGTATTATAGATGTTTTCCTTTGATATCCCTTAACAGAGACAGGAAGCGAGGATGATGGGCTTTTGGATCTGAGCGAGGATGATTTCTTCTTAACTGGAAGCTCTAGTGATGAAGCTGATGCAGATGATGAGTGGACTGATAAAAGTACCAAGTATGTATGACATTTGTAATTTGTGACAGGAAATGCAACTATTGATTTTTATTTCAATTGAGTACACTAGGCTGTGGTTGGTTTGTAATTCAAACCATGATTTTACACTAATAATCAACCCTCTGTTTGCTTAGAGGTTTCAAATTATGATTCCAAATCAATTTCAAAACACATTTTGAAAACATGTTTGGTAAACTAGAGAATTTTTGAATTTTTGGTCTACCCGATCGTTCGTCTGGACATTCCGCCTAGACAGTTTTTGAATTTTTGGGTCTACTCGGTCGTTCCCCCGGACATCCTCCTGAATGTCCGGCCAGTTGACCGGAACAGTGTTTTTTATTTTTTTATTTTTATAAAGAAATTGGCACCTGCTATTTGGAAAAAATATATATGTATATATATATATATTTGGTTTTGATATTTTTAAAATATAGAAAATATTTTTTTGAGACTAAAATGACAAATTATTTGGACATTTATTTAAAATTAACAAAAAATATTTTGAAATAAAAATTAATTTGTCATAGTAATTTTAAAAAAATAAAAAATATTAATATTTTTAAGTAAAAATATTTTCTGATTTTTAAAATTTTTTAAATAAAAAAATTATTTTTGTCAATAATTATTTTTTTGAATTGAATTTAAAAAAGAGTTTGGTTATGAGTTTCGAATAGAATTTTCAATAGAGTTTTAAGTTGTGTGTTTGGTTATGAGTTATAAGTTTTAAAAACTTTTTTCAAAACTCATAATCAAATAGCTTTTCACAAACTCAACACTCATTTCAAAAATTCAACACTCAATTCAAATAATAATTCAAAACTATTTTCAAAACTTATAACCAAACAAATTTTTTCTTTTCAAATCATAATTTCAAAACTCACAAACTTAAAATACAACTCCGCACTCAAATCATAATTCTAAACACAAACCAAACGCTACCCTAATATTTCTTTTTCATATTTTTCTTCTTCGTGTGTATGCATGTTCACACTCCTGAGTGTTTTCTACAAATGTATTTATCTTATATTTATCCTAGTTGTGGAAGTTTTAGGAAGGAATTGGAGTCACTGAGTGTTTTCTAACTACAAATGTATTTATCTTAGTTGTGGAAGTTTTAGGAAGGAGTTGGAGTCAACATAGTATTTTTTTGATGTCTTTTGATGAATTAGTGCATAAATGTTTAACTATGATCGAGGAATGAGGTCAATTTGATTGATAGAGGGGTAAACTATCATTGTGTTCCTCAAATTCTACTTCAATTTTCAATATCATCTTTTAATTTTCTTTTTAATCCCTCAGACTTTTATAATTACATTAATGCTGTTCAGTCCTTTAAGGAAGGTAAGAAAAAATATCCTGTTGTTATCATGTGCCTCCTACTTGAGCTAATAGCCTGAATGCTCGAGAGTGTTTCATTGGCAGTTTCAAGTGAAATGTAATTTTAATATAAGATGTAAGAAGTACAAATTGATAGATGATGTAACTACATTAAATTTTCTCATCTCGTTTTGTGAGAGTTCAAGGGATCAAATGTAAAAATTAAAAGGTCTGACATTGAAAACTTGAGTAAAGTTTGTAAGCTAAAGTAAAGTTTATCCTTAATACGAGGGCATTTTTAAAATTTTTAATAACGAAATATATTTAGTGGTTTATTTATAATTATTAGTGGCAAACCCTGGTGCTGATTCCACCAAGGGCTTTTGATGTAGTACTGTATCTTATTGTGCTAAATTCTTGCATTACCCCTTTGCTCTTCTCATTTTCATCTGTAGTCTTTAGTGTTGGTTGAACTTACAACTGCATCTTAGATTTCTATCATATACCTGGCACAGGGAGCAAGCTTCTAGTGCTTCTGGCAAAGCAGCATCTGGCATGTCCAGCGATGAAAGGAATCAGGTTTTTGTCCCCTGAATTTTGTCTTTAGCTGTTAAAAGGAGATTTGTGAATATATAGACCATGTTCGCTTACTTTTCTTCCTTTTGTTCAATTTGTATAGAGGCATATCTCTGCCCGAGCTTTAATGCCTCCTCCTCGGTCATCAACCAATTCGTTTTCAAATTCAGTTCATGTTAAATCAAGGTTTGGAGGTTCATCAAGCAAAAAGCAACCCTTGCGGAGGGCTGAAATGTCCACATCCAGCAACACATCAAATAGCATGAGTGAATCTTCCTACAGAAACAGGGGATCCTCAGATTCACGGACGGGTCAGAGTAGTAACCTGAGTTCCAACTCTGATGCTCACAAACCCCGAAGAAAAAGGAGGCCTAAGAAGAAAAAGCAACAGGTGGAGTTCTTTTGGCAATACTGTGGAACATATTCGTTATGAATGAAACCCAAAATAAAATTGAAAAAAAAAAAAAAAAAAAAAAAATTGTGTAGCAGGGACAAGTCCACAAGACAAATGTGAAGAGCGACAATATTATTTGGATGAATCAGGTTGTATATGATGACTACCCATCAATTTGAGAGAATAAAGGGCAAATTACACTTTGCCCCCCTCAATTATCACCATTTTTCACTTTACCCTCTCAAACTATAAATTGATAACCCCCTTCATCTTCCAAAAGTTTTTAATCCAACTCTTATGTCTCCATTTTGTGAACAAAACTGATTGGAAAAGTGCATGTAATGCGCACGTATCATATTTATGTCAGATTCTTAAAAGGTATTTTCGTCATAATATGACGTGCATATTACATCACCTTTTCCGTCACTTTTCTTAACAGAATGAAGACATAAAGGGTTAGATTGAGAACTTTTAAAAGATGAAAGGAGTATATTGTATCAATTTTTAATTTGAGGGGGTAAAGTGAAAAATAGTGATAATTGAGGGAGTTAAAGTGTAATTTGCCTGAGAATAAATAGACCGTAGTTACGAGATTGATACATATTGGGTAGGCAAGTAAGAAGATATTAGTAAATTGAGGATAAATGAAAAGGACATGTTCTGATGGATGATAACCAGTCATGAAAGGAATTTTAATGAAGTAAATGACTCCTGCATAGGTAGAGGTAGTATCAACTTGTCAAAATTGACTGAAAAGGTTGACGTTTGCTGACTGGTGTGTGTGATCAAAACTGTGCAAAATGCATGATGGGTTGGAGCATAGGTTGAGGTAGGTAGGAAATGCTGAAGAAAAACAACAAAACCAAAAATGACATTGATCTTGATGACAAACAAATATTATAGTTTAGCCCGTATTTAAACCATGGGTTTTATTGGGTTGTTTCATGGTAGATCATGTTGAAATTGTCCCATTAAAACATATATAGGAATTTGATTATTGTTTGCTTGATTTATTTTTATGGTCTATAGAAGTTGTAAATTCTTTTTCATTTGTTTCTTTGTTGTTTTTTGGGATGAGTAAGATCCGTCTGATACTGAAAGCTTAACTGTGAAAATGGTTTGATATTTCTGTACATATTGCAACTCATTCATCATTTCTCTTCCTTGTTGACAGGCATGAATTGATAAAATTCTGCTGATATAAATCTATAATCAATTGAAGCAAACTCATAGGATGTTGAAGCAGTTCACAGCTTGGTTTAACCGTCTTCTTGTTTATCTTAATTTTTTCCATTTTTGTTTTAGGTAACTAAATTGTGTGGTACAGGCACAATCTTTCACTCCCCATTCTGGAATTCTCTCATCCTGACTTGTCTCGGAATTATTTGGAAGAATTTCTGTTTCTTCTCATTTCTTGTTTGTGGATGGTTTTGTAAACTTTCGATGGAATCAATCAATGTCTAGATTACACCCATTTAATTGCTCTAGCTTGTTCATGCAGGTATGATTATTATTATTTTTTAATTTTGTGGTACATTATTACTATCCATCTTTCCTCTTGTATTTTACACTTGCTTTGATTTGATGGTAACATTATTGAATCAAACAGTACCATAGATATTTTAGATTATTAACATCACTGAACCAACTTGATTATTGTCTTGCATATTTCTTCGGCAATAAACCATGATTTATCCATATGATTCATTGATTTCGAATGAAGGTGTACAATGATCTTAAACATATACATCAAAACACAAATTGCTAGTGTATATATTAGCAATTTTTTGATTTTTAATTTTAAGCAAAAAGATGTCCCAGGATAAATTATCTTGAGATATAATATGGTGGGCGGTAGAAAAGAAAAGGGTGACAAAATATTACATTGATGTGATTAGTGACATGTATGAAGGGGTGGTGGCCACTATTAGATCACTTGCTGAAAAGACAAATGAATTTTCTATTACTGTAGGGTTCAACTAAAGATCTATTTTAAGTCCTTATCTTTTTGCTTTAGTTATGAATGAGCTGACGAGAAATACTCATGATGACGTGTCATGGTGTATGTTTTTTACAGATGATATCGTGTTAATGGATGAGACTAGAGAATGAGTTAACACAGTTAGAGATTTGGAAAAAAATACTTAAATCTAAAGGATTTCGAATAAGTAGAACTAAGAGAGTATATGGAGCGTAAATTTAATAACAGTAATAATGAAAGAAGAGGAGAAGTGAAAATTGAAAACCAAGCACTGTCTAAGAGTGAACATTCTCATTATTTATAGTCGATTATCATAAAGGCATGGGAGATTGATGTGGATGTGACCCATATGATTAAGGTGAGATGACTTAAGTGGAGAAGTGCGTCTGGGTACCGTGTAATAAACGAATACCCACTAGACTCAAAGGTAAGTTTTATAGAACGACTATTAGACTAGTGATGTTATATGGGATAGAGTGTTGGACAATCAAGAAACAACATGTAGATAAGATGATGGTTGCTATATGGGGATGCTAAGGTAGATGTGTGGCAAGACTAGACAAGACAGAATTAAGAGTGAGTGTATTGGAGAATGGGTAGGAGTAGCACTGATAGAAGATAAGTTGAAAGAGAATCGATTGAGATGGTTCAGTCATATTCAATAGAGACCAACAGAGGCAATAGTGAAAAGATTCGATACAGTGACGGTAGCTGGAAGTGTTAGCGAACTGGGTAGGCCTAACTAGCGTTGTAAATTAAGATATGGATTTACTTAATTTGACTATGGAATTGACTTTTGATAGACCCGCGTGGAGAATAATGATTCCTGTAACTGATCCCATTTGATGGAATTTAAGCTTTGGTTAAGCAAAAAGATGTCCTAATTACACTGGTTTAGAAATTTAGTACCTAAAGCCTGTTTTTATTTTGCTTTAATTGGCATTATCATGGAAACATGTGAGCTTGTTAAATTTAGGCCAAGTTTAACAAGTTAAAAAAAAGTCAAAAAGTCAAAAAAGTTGCACAAAAAGTTAAAAAGTTAAAAAGTTGTCACTATTCTCAAAAAGTCAAAAATTACGAATGCACAACTCTCAATCTTAGTTTTCCCCTACATACTAATTTATATAATTTTTTAATACACATTTTTCCATAAAAAGTAAAAAAGTTAACCCAAACATCTACATTTTTTTAAATTTTTTAACTTAAAAAGACAAAAAAATATACTTATTTAAGACACCCAAACAATCCCTTATAATCACTAAACTTACCATGAATAGGTAGGTTAGAATTTTCAAGCAATTATTTGACTGATCTTGTTAATAAAGTGTCTTTCAACACAAAGAAATCCCAAGAAAAAGACACTTCACAACATGATATACAAATTTTAAAAGCACTTTATAACTTTAATTTTTTTATACTTGTTTCTAAAATACGGTCTATCCAGATCCGAATACAAAATCATTGATTGACATTTACATCATTTTCAAATAAATGTGCTCAGTTTAGAAAATATTTTTATAGAATGCATCACAAATGTAAGAGAAATAGTGAGTCAAACTTGTGAAGGATAAGTCCATGGCTTTGGGACTAATTATCTGTCTCATATCTAAATGCTATGTATCAAATGAATATGGTAAATTCCTATTTTATTATTCTCTAATTCAAAACAGATGTCACATCCTCACGTAAGCTAATAAATAAAAAAAATTAATGGGACTATCTCGTTGGTCAGTATTGTTACATCTTATTGATTTAAATCTCTTCACTTACATATAATTTTTATTCCTGTGTTATTGTTGGGTTTCTTCTTTGTATAAATTATGTGTTATATTTGATTTTATTTTTATAATTGTAATTTGTTAAGTTTTATTATAATATCACACACACCCACACACACACATATATATATATAAAATAGAAAAAGCTGTCATATTTACTATATAAAAAATAAGAAATAAAAAAAAATTAAGAAATCGAAGTTCAATGAACCTTGGTGTATTTATTGATTAATTAACTGAAAAAGGAAAAGATAAATACATAAATATGTCATCATATTTAAAAAAAAAAAAAAAAAAAAAAAAACTAAGAAATCGATGTTCAATGAACCTTGGTTTGTTTATTGATTAATTAATTGAAAAAAAGAAAAGATAAATACATAAGTGCATCATAGGGAACATCAATAAATATTAACCCATTAATAAATTCCATCTTTTCAGGTAAGAAAACAGTTAAATCAAAATACATTTGCTTTATGGCACTGGGCTCCCAACTGATCTAGCCTTTGTAATTTGAATTTGTTAGAATATAATATTAATGTTCACAAAGCACAAAAAATTATTACACTGCTCAATAAGATTTTTTTAATAAAATGTTCTTTGGACAATGTCGCGTGTCCACCGACTACCCAACACCATCCTTTCAAAATTTAATAAATTTACAAACACCAATTAAGAATTGTCTCTCCTAGTAAGATGGTGGATCCAACAATAATGTGATAAGTAGAATTTAGTAGAGTCCAATTGAGTCGTAGATTAGTTAAGTTTAATTTTAAAATTTGATCAGTTTCAAAACGTGTTTAAGATCGACTTATTTACATAACAAATAAATTTTGAATTTATTTTTTATAAGTCAAATACTTTATTTTTATTTTTATTTTTATTATTGAGCTTTTTATTAACTTGTTTAAGTTTGATTTAAAAATTTAACAAGTGTTAAAATGTATTCAATTTGACAATTATGTAACTTGATTTTAAATGAGTCAGAGTAATTTGATTTTAGCAATCATATCGAGTTCAGTTCAATTCTGTGAAATAAATAGTAAAAATTTAGAATGTCAAATGTTGTTGTTTGAAAGATTAGGAAAATGTTTGGTAGCTCAAATTTTTGTGGCTCAAATGGCTCAAATCTGTCAAAACGACGTCGTTTTACACTCATTTACAATCAAAACGACGTCGTTTTGAGTGATTTGAGCCATTTGAGCCACAAAATTTTGAGCTACCTAGCATTGTTGGAAAGATTATGGGTAACCCAACCCTAAGAAGTCATATAAAAACAAGAGGACAACAAAATCTTTGTATCGAATAATACAATTCGAATCTCTCTCTCTCTCTCTCTTACACAGGAAGGGGCAGTACTACCTAACCATCATGTTCACTTGCAGTGAAATTTCACTAAATTATAGGGCCATGTTTGGTGGTTGCCTACATTCAAGTTTAATAGCGATTGCCTCCTAATATCTAACCCCACCATAATTGGGCAATGTTTGGTGCAATTTATAGGATTATTAACAATTTTTTAAATTTATTTTGGAAATTTCCATCAAACTGTTTGGTACATACTGTTTCTGTTTACCATTTATGAGTCAAATTGATTGAGAAGTTGGGGGAGCAACATTTATAACTTCTACCCTTTTTTTCTTCTAATTATTAAATTTTAATTTATAAAAAACTACACCAAAACATGCACTCAGGCTGATTGCCCTCTTAGGGTAGCTGTTGACCATGATCTCTCTCTCTCTCTCTCTCTCTCTCAGAAGATGCATTTACAAAACCCTACAAGAGTTTTAACTTTCTCTTGCAAATAATTAATGCTGAGGAAGTAGATTGTCTCCATTTGATCCTGTTTTGAAGGAGTACCAATTTGGCCTCTTTATTTGGAAGACTGTTTAATCAGAATGAACCATGATTTTTTGTTTTTTTTCTTTCTTGTTTTTATATTAAAATTGTTTGGTACTGTTAAAAAAAGAAGATAAGATTCAATGGATTAACCAAGATGACTCTTACAATTTTATCTTTGATACATGAATCACGTGATCTAGCCCGAGTCACTGAAATAATCTCTTTAGAAATGAGATATTCTCAAACTTGACTTCAACGAGAGTCTCATGTATTAACTTATTCTTTTATTTTTTATTTTTTCTTATACGTATAACACTTGTTAGAATACTTTTCACAGTACAACGAATAGTATGATACAAATAAAAAAGCTATATAAAATTTTCATTGAGAATAATTTTGTAGTCTTAAATCATTTTATTTTCAAAATAAAGTTCCATCAATATAACTTGTATGAAAAAAAAAAAAAAAATACACAATTGCCACATTATTCAAATATAAAAATTTGTACAAATTTTTAGTGAATTATTTTTCTAATATTAAAAAGCATAACTAAAATTTGGAGAGCAATATTATATACATGTTTATATATAGAACTGCTTTGGAAGCAAGTATTTCTTTTGTATGCATTTTTGATTCAATAGAATTATTACAAAACAAAGACAATAAAACGACCATAGATGATCTGCTGCTACAACTTTACAAAGTAGTATTTTTGTTTTTTTGTGTTTTCTATTTGCACTTCTCAGTTGAAGTCCAGAGAAAACTGTTGGCACAAAGAGGGTGTTTTCAAAATCAAAATTCCTCGAGAACCCAAGCTCAAACTGTGTATCTCTCCATGATAGAATAGATACATATCTTCTCTTCTGTTTCTTCTGTTATGGGTTTCTCATTCATAACCCACAGGCTAAGCCTTTAGCTTCTGATCCTTTCATGATTCTCAGTCTCTTGCAGGATGACATAAACATGCTGCAACAAGAATACATGGTTCGTTTGATTAGAAGGAAAAAAACATAGGAAAATGAAAGAGAAAATTTAATTTTTGAATGAATTACACTTGTAGTTTATGTAGTTTGCACCTTGTGTCAATTTGATTATTTCAATTCTAATTGTGCCAATTTAACCCAGTTAATAATGTCTCTCTAAGAATTTAATTAAAATTAAGAAACAAAAATAGTTCATTCACTATTTCAAAGTATGTGAGGGGTGGACACCCAATTTAAAATGGTCCATTCCCTTTTGAATGCACCATTTTATCTTTAATTCATGTTTAATTTTTTAATGAATGTTATCAATTAGATTAAATTGACAGAATTAAAAATATTAAAGATTAAAATTGACACAGCCAAAAAAATTCTTATATTTTTTTGGCAAGAAATTGCAAGTCAAGTTACCATGCTACTATTGGCAAAAAAATACTACACTTATCATATGTTTATGCCACATTAATTATATTATCTCATGTGTCACAATTATAATTATTAAAGCAATGAATCCGACTTAAGTTTTGTTTTTTCTAATGTGATAGTTATGATTGTGCAAGTAAATGTGAGAAAAAAATATGATAAATGTAACATTATATATATATATATTTTTTTTTTCAAACTACCTACTATGAACTATGTACAGAGAGAGAGAGAGAGAGAACTTACTCCCAAGGAACATCTCCAACAAGCATCCAGTCACCATCTTTGTCTTGATAAGTTGGTGCATATTCAGATCCTTTGTAGCCTTCCCTCTCTGAGTACAACCCTAAATAATTGAAGCCATTCAATTTCACGGTTAGATTTAGATTTATAAGAACAAAGAAAACAATAGATATTAGAGACACAACAATCTATTAATCAATAATAGATAATATTCTTTAATTAAAATTCTCACCTATGGTGAATTTGAACATGTCTTCTAAAGCCTTTAGGAGGTCTGAGTAGGCCTTGTAAACCTTTAGATCAATCTTTCTGAGATATGGAGCTCCGTCCATGCTCACTTTCACGTACATTCCTGCCTCCGCCTCTGCCTCTGCCTCCGCCTCCGCCTCCGCCTCCGCCTTCTTAGGAAGGAAGCTATTTTTCCGGTAGGATCGGATTGGCGGCCACCCCACTACTCGTGCTCTGCCATTTTAGATACCCCACGTCAAATTAGTATAGTTTGAAAATTTGACATTTTTAGTGATTTTTTAATTATTTAACTTTTTTATGAGGTGAAAAAAACCTAATACATATTGAATGACTTTTTTTTTTTCCGTTAAATAGATAGTTTTGAGAAATAAATAATTAAGTGATATGTAGTATGTGATATTTTGCTATTATGGGGTTTTTTTTTTTTTTGACCTTTTTTTTTGTGTATTTTTTAAAATATTTTTAATGTATAGATTGCAAGTAAGGGTGAATGGGGAAAGAGAAAGTTGTATGATGCAGTCATTGGTGTTGCCTATGGAAAATTTTTTTAATGTAACGACAATATCAAATATCAAAATGCAAAATAAAATAAAAAATTCTGTAAATAATTTTATCTTGGCTCCCTTTGCAATATGGGTTTGTAAAAAAAAGGAAAAAAATATATATATAAAAAAAAACACCCATCAAACTCAGCCCTACAAGATTATCTATGGAGTTAAATTTAAAGATTATCAGGTATATTTTTACAATATTATGTTATGTTGTCATTAAAAAAAAAATGATTAAAACAAGAGAAGCCTAAAGAAGAGAACTTACTTGGCGGCGGGTGCATTTTTGGCATCGGATGAGCCACCCTTCGCTCCGCCATCCTCCGCCGTGTCAGGCGTTGCTCGCTTGTTGTTTCTACCACCGCCACCACACATGGTTTCTTTCTCAGACTCGTCTCTTCCTGGCAATCCTAATCTGAGCTCAGTTGCCTTGAAATTAAGATCATTCTCATATGCTACAGAGCTTTCCATTTTCCCAACAATTCTTAGCTACCAAACAAAGCCAAAATGACCTTCAAAAAGCGAACCAATGGATCGGTATTGCTTTCCTTTCAAGAGTTGTATTGAGAGAGATATGTATACAAAGGAAAAGTTGGGTAAGTCTCTGAACAAAGAAAAGCTTTGTGGAGAAGTTAGAGAGAGTTGTTTGAATATATATGGTGGAGGTTGCAACACAATGAAACACCAAGATATGATATGACGTAAAAGGCTAAAGGAGTAAAGCGTGTTGTTTGGGGAACACTAGGGCTCCGTTTGGGATATATTTGGACTAAAATAATTATAGAGGATAAAATTAACTACTTTAGTTAAAAAAAAAAAAAGGTAAAATGTCATATTTAATTTATAATTATTTTATTTTTTTCTTACAAAAGTCAAAAAAACTTATCATAAATAAAATTTTTTAAATCCAGACTAAAATAATCAAAAAAATTAAAAAATTGAAAAGTCACTCCACACCCTAAACCAACTCTATGATATGAGGCCATTTGCCAGCCAAAAATAAAGGAATATGACTTTTCCTAAAAAAAAAGAAAAAAGAAAAAAAGCAAAAAATTATACCGGTAGTCTTTTTACTTTATTTTTGAAAATTCGGTTAAAAGTTAATTTTTTGAGTTTTTTAGATCACATTATTTTTTTAATTTTTTTAAAAAAAATTAAAAAGTCAACTTTTAACATACTTTTCAATTTTGCCAGTATTTTTTTTTTAGTAATATGTTAATTTAGTCTAATTAATAATACTTGTTTAGAAATTAAACTGATATTAAGAATTAAATTAGTTTATTCACTACCATTGTTGAGTTGATGTCTAATTTAAAATAAATTATTTTTTTAAATGAATTATTTTATCATTAATTTATGTTCAATTTCTAACCTATGTTATCAATTAAATAAATCAATATAAAATACATATATTTTAAAAATAACTGATATAATTAATATTATATAAATCAAATTGAAACAACATATAAATTACGAACACAACATATACATACATTTTTAAAAAATATATGGAGAAAATACTAGGATATAATTTGTAATTGTTGACTTTTGGTGAATAGTATTACCTTTTTAACTTTTTGAGTAACTTTTTGGCTTTTTAACTTTTTTGGAACATCCCAAACTTGCCCTAAATTACAAACACAACATATACATACATTTTTAAAAAATATATGGAGAAAATACTAGGATATAATTTTTTTGGGTAAATTACACTGACATTCTCTTAGATTTGGTCTGATTACATCTCACCCTTTAACATTTTAAAAATTACATTTCCATTATTGTGATTAATAATCTTATTTGACAAACTCCTTACCGTGAAGTGAACGTTAGACATGTTAAGAAAATCTTGATGTCATAAACAAAAAGTAAGGAAAAGTAACTAAATTGCCCTTTGGGACTTTAAAAAATCTTTTATAACCTCATATCTTATTTAAAACTATCAATATACCATAAAGAAAATAATCCAGTCACAATAGTTGTTATTTTTTCTAAAACCCTAACAACAAAACATTTATATCATTTTATTAATTTTTGCATGTAAAATTTTAGAGTTAAAAATGTCTTTTGATAGTAATATTAATTTCGTTTAAATAATTATAATGAGCGTAATTTTTTAAATATCAAAAAGTGATGATGTAGGTGCAATTTATCCAAATTTTTTGAAGGCAAATGTGTTTTGCTATCAAATGCATTATTTATTGTTAAATTTTTTTAAAGGACAAAGGCAAGCTAGGCTGTCGGTAGCATTGGCTGCATCAGCATCTTTTAAGAGAAGTGACACTGTATTTAGGGAACAAGAGTGGGACAAATTAAAGCCGCCCATATGGAACGAAGACTTTTTAGGACTCTAAAGGAACGGTCAAGATGCGTTTTGTGGGCTTGTGGATGGGAAAATCAGGGGCGTTGGTTTGGGAGGAGAGAGAGAGAGAGAGAGTCATTCCCATGTGACTGAAAGGGTCCCACATGGTGTTTGGATATGGGCATACCATGGCCATGTGGGGGACCAGGGTTTTTGGCAGGGATTTGAAATTGGGAAATTTACGTCTCAGAGTTATTTCAATAAATTATTTATAAATTTTTGAAGAAATTTAAGGCTTTATATTTTAATATTTGTAAAACTTACCATTAATTTGAAAATATTTTTTCAAACATCACTTAATTGAAATGATTCCTTAGAAATTTAGTTAATTGATGATGGGAGGATCTACATGACATTTGGTCTATCATGACTCATGACTACATGGTCATCCCTTGACCAATTCTCCTTTTGTTAATGAAAAATAATAGGAATTTCAAAAGTTTTACCCTTTGTTAATTAAGGCTTATTTTAACTATGATTTATTTTTAATTTTTTTTATTTATTATGAATAGAAGTAAAAAAATAAAAATATAATATGACTTAAATAAATTAATAAATTGTTTATTTTTAGTATACCCAAAACAAGTTAAATATATGAAAAATGCTTGATGTCTCGAAATTTCGAGACTTGATTGCCTTGAAATTGTTTTTTGTTTTTGTTTTTGTTTTTGTTTTTTTTTTTTGTTTTTGTGTAAAGATGGTTATGTGTAGAGGTGTGCTAAAAAATTAGAAATCCTGCATCAACTCAACCTGTGTGGTTCGATAAGGTGAGTAATGAGTAAGTTAGATTGGATTGATTGAGTGACAAAATTGTCTGATCAGTTAGGCTACTGGTTAAAATTTGTTAATTTTATATTTTTATTTCAAGTCAGGAAAACTTGAAGGAAATTGAAATCAAAGCCATTTCAATTTCCTCCGAGTCTTCCTGATTCGAAATAAAAATATAATAGGGACTCGTAAAAAAACTGAATGAAATTAACAAACTTTAACCAGCATACTAATTGATTAGTTAATTTATCACGAAACCAGTCCAACTCAACTCACTCATCTTATCAAATGACACAGGCTGAGTTGATGTGAGATGTCTAGGTTTTTAGCATACTCCTACATATAACCACCCTTCCCTTTAAAAAAAAAAAAAAAAAAAAAAACCCACATGATTTGAGATATTCGAGTTTCAAAATTTCGAGACCTCTAGCACGACTGTAAATATATATACAAAAGGAAAAAGTTAGCAACCAGACTTCTAATCTTAGAAAAAATCAAATTATATTGTGAAAATTATATTAGTAAGGTGTAGGAATATAAATGAAATAAAATTTTGAGTTTGTAGTCCCACTATATACAAAAAGCTATCCTTACTCAAAATAATAATAATAATAATAAATCACAGAGAATTCATCATCATAATTATGATGCGAGTTATGTTACGTGCACTAAAATTTTTATTAAAAACAAGTGTCTAAATATTATTAGATGTTTAAGTTTTAATATTTTTTTTAATAATACTATATAAATCAATGGGTATATTAATTAGTATGTTAATAAATAATGTGACATAATTTAAAATATTTTAAATATTTATAATTTATATAATAAATAAAATTAATAATAATATCACAACATAAATTGATATTACTCACATTTCTCGTATTTTTAATGAGCTATTGGTGTCCGTACAATCATTTTAATGATGTGCTAGTATGCTAGTATCAATATATGTTATTATTATATTTTTTTTTATATAGGCCATGTTTGGTAGGACTTATTTTCAACTTATTTCAATTTTTAACTTAATTTAAGCTATTTTGATGTGTTTGGTTCAGCTTAACAATATAACTTATAACTTTTTGTAAGTCAAAAATCAACTTATTCTTTGAGTAGAGGAGGAGAAACTTAATTTATAAGTCAAAAATCAGCTTATGTTCACAGTTATAAGCTATAAACTGTTAGGTTATAAGTTATAATCACTTTCCTATAGTTCTACCAAACGGGGCCATAGCCACGAACTGTGCCCTAAGCAGAGTTTTTTGGGTTTACAGTGCAAAGTAATGTAACATATTATTTTGGTCGTATATTTTATATAAATTTTTTTATTTATAATATTACTCATATATATTTATTCTATTACATAAATCATAGAACACATCACATATATTGAAGTTTTGTCACACATTTTTTTCTACCAATTGTTCCTAAAATAATTGTTAAGCAATTATAATAGATTAATTGCTAATCAGTTTTCAAATTCAACTATCTTCTCCATTCATTGAACTACCTAGGCTATGAGTACAGATGTAAAATTGCAAAAGTATCACATTTAAACCTATTGTTAATATATAGATAAAATTATATACATTGTTTATAGTAGAATTCTTGTAGGAATACCAATTTATTTATACCCTCAATCTATAATCAAATATGTGACTAGTTATTGTGCGGTGGGCTGTGATAAGCTACATCAGTCCAAGCAGTCCAAGCCAGATCAAACAGATCAGTCCAAGACAGATCAATCACCAAAGACAGAGCCACACCAGTTGCACCAGTTGCAGCAGGTCAATCATCAGCCACAGCAGTTCAAGCCATCTGTTGAGAACAATCAAGAGCTGAGCACGTGTATAAAATTGAGACAGTTATCATCCACTTGTGGTGGTTAGAATAAATCTGTTAGGCTGTTATCTAAACTCAACTATAGTTAGTTAGTTAGGATATTGAGTTAGATAGTTGTAATATCTGTATAAAAGAAAGTAGCAACTGTATGTGTTGAATTAATTTTTCAAAAAGAAAATAAGAATCTGATATTTTTCCAAATCCTTTTATGGTATCAGAGCAGAATGAGCTCCATCGAGCATCCTATCTTCAACAAAATCCAGTAATGGCAGCAAATCTACAAGAAGCTACTGTAAGAAATCTACAAGCAACAATGGCAGATTCGATCTCTGGTCCAGGTTCTGAAGATATATCCATGTTACCTTCAAATCTCACTCTTCTTATTTCCAATCTGAACTCCTTTGTTCCAATCAAACTTGACTCTACAAACTATATCATTTGGAAGAGTCAGTTTCAGAATATCTTGAGAGCTACAAAGCTACTAGGCTTTGTTGATGGTTCTGTACTCTGTCCTTCATCTACAATCCATGATGCACATGGAAATTCTGTTCCAAATCCAGCATTTACTCACTGGATCACTATTGATACACATTTGTTGAGTTGTATTACTGCTACACTTTCACCATCCATCTTCATGTCTGTTTTGCACTGTGGAACAAGTACTGAGGTATGGAATACACTGGCTGCTCGAT